AACTTTTCTATTGCGAATCAAAGTTATCGATAACTTTTCTATAGAGAATAAAATTTATCGATAACTTTTCTATACAGAATCAAGGTTATCGATAACTTTTCTATAGAGAATCAAAGTTATCGAAAACTTTTCTATATAGAATCAAAGTTATCGATAACTTTTCTATAGAGAATCAAAGTTATCGAAAACTTTTCTACATGGAATCAAAGTTATCGATAACTTTTCTATAGAGAATCAAAGATATCGTTAACTTTTCTATAGAGAATCAAAGTTATTGATAACTTTTTTATAGAAAATCAAAATGAACATTAACTTTTCTATAGAGAATCAAAGTTATCGATAACTTTTCTATAGAGAATCAAAGTTATCGATAACTTTTCTATAGAAAATCAAAATTATCATTAACTTTTCTATAGCGAATCAAAGTTATCGATAACTTATCTGAAGAATATCAAATTTATCGATATTTTTCTATAGAGAATAAAATTTATGGATAACTTTTCTATAGAGAATCAAAGTTATCGATAACTTTTCTATAGAGAATCAAAGTTATCGATAACTTTTCTATAGAGAATCAAAGTTATCGATAACTTTTCTATAAAGAATCAAAGTTATCGATAACTTTTCTATAGAGAATCAAAGTTATCGATAACTTTTCTATAGAATTAACTTTTCTATAGCGAATCAAAGTTATCGATAACTTTTCTGTAGAATATAAAATTTTTCAATATTTTTCTATAGAGAATAAAATTTATGGATAACTTTTCTATAGAGAATCAAAGTTATCGATAACTTTTCTATAAGGAATCAAAGTTATCGATAACTTTTCTATATAGAATCAAAGTTATCGATAACTTTTGTAGAAAAACAAACATATTCTATATAGAAAGTTTATCAACAATTATGATTATCTATATAAAAGTTATTAACTTTAATTCTATTATTAACTTTAATTCTATATAGAAAAGTTATCGAGAAGTTGTTGATAAGTTTTCTATAGAGAATCACAGTTATCGATAACTTTTCTGTAGAGAATCAAATTTATCGATTACTTATCTATAAAGAATATCTGAAGATATAACTTATCTTCAGAGATTCAAAATTATCAATAGCTTTACTGTGGAGCAAAAAAGTTACCGATTACTTTATTATGGATAATCAAAAGTAGTCGATAATTTTCCAAAGTCAATCAAGATAATCGATAACTTTTCTTTATCATTTCGATAGAAAATTACTGTTGTCGATTTCTTTTCTATATAAAATTAATGCTTTTAATATCTTCTCTATAAATTCTCTGTCAACAATAACAATTATTAATAGCTTTTTCAAAGAGAACTTAAGTCCTCTAGAGAAGTTCCTTTTCAAAGTTATTGATTATTTTTCTTTGGAAACTTCAATGTTATCAATAAATTTTCTAAATCAAATAAAAATAATCCTAATTTCCCAAAGAAAATTTCATAATAATACTCACTTATTTAGCACGCTCACTTACAAATAAGTACTTAAGTAAGCCGTTACAAATAGGGAGTTAATAAGTTGTTTTGTTTTGTCGACATAGAGAACTAACATGGATTTCGTTAGTCCGCTGTGATAAACCGATCTAATAAAATAACAAAACTCAAAATAAGTACTTACCTATATGAATATATGTAAGTCATTATTAGTGTACTTGCAACTAATACAGACGGTATGTAGTAGTCATTAAGTTATTGCGTAAGTTCATTTCATTAACAAGTTTTTGTTAGGAATCTATAAAATTCCGCATTTTGTGCTTGAAATTATTTCGTATTCTTACCCCTACTTCAACCATTGCCACTTAACTTTTCATATAAATTCCCTTGAAAATATGATACAATTTAATAACATTAACAATCTTACAAACAATTTTCAATTATAAGAGAATAATATATTTTTAAGTACTTCTTATGAACATATTTAATAATAATCATAATTTAATTTTCGCATTCTCTAATTTAATGTTTACATACACAATATTACATAATGAAGCAATTTATATGCAATGGTTGGTGGTGTTCGAAGATTTTCTAGCTTCTATTTTCATTTAACACATATGTACATACGTACAATTCGTAATTGCCAAATATGACTGTTATTAACAGACTTTATGTCCTTTTTTTCTCCACAAAATTCCATTAAACCAAAAATTATTTTCTAAGAAAAGCTTTAATATAAACGAGTGAGTATATGCGTTGGCATAGAAAATCGAAAAACATAAATATTAAACTTAAATAAAAGTTAGAAATACTATATAGTACTTATAGAGGAAAATTTCATAGATTTATAAGTTCTATATAATAGTTACTTATATATGTGTATGTAAGTATATTGGGTAGTATAAGTTTTAATAACTAACAATGAATATGTATGTATGAGTAAATATTTGTTTTTATAATTTGTTTCAATGATATTAATCCTTATTTATGGATATCACAATAGCTTTTAGATAATACAAACTTTTAAGCTTCAGGCTCACAAGAAAAACTAAATGCACTTTTGTATTTAAAACTTTGGGTGTATGTAAGTATTTAAGTAAAGAATCTACATTTAGTAGTTATGTGAATTATGAATTTGGTTGAATTTGTAGATATTTACGTATCAGAATGAAATGAGAAATAATGCAAATATTTATAATATTTCCGGTATCCGGTTATTCAGTTTGAATACAAAAACATTTTGTGTTTACATATAAAATACAGAGGATTGAGAACAATTAATTTGCTGGAACAAATTTAGAAGAGATTTTGAATCACGAATATCTGAAGTTTCTTGTAATTATAGGCTCACAAGGGGGTCGGGAAAGTGATGCTTGATTAAACGCATTGAGGATAGTCAAACTTATTTCTGGCTATTGTGGCAAATGAAGTTAAAATTCTTAGAAAAACATCATTCTCTTGTACAGTTTTACTGAAAACACTCCTCATGTAGATGAACATTCATATGTAAATCCATATTCGGTTTATACGATACATGTAAGAAATGTTGTGGTTTTGACCATTAGAACAAATTTGTTGTTTAACAATTGATTTATGGCTTTGAATTTTCAAAATTTTACAATCCTTGTGCGACATTACAAAAACCATAATGCGACAGCAAAAGTTGCATTAGCTTGTTCGCATGCTTACTTATAGTTGCAACCAAACAAATCCACATAAACATATGTATGTATATATGTATAGTGAAACTATGTATGTGTGTCTAAATGTATGCAAGGAAAAGCAACAAAAGCCAATAAGAAACATGACGACAATGAAGAATAACTTTATGATGTTTATGATAATAATGATGGTGACAATAAATACAAAACAAATGATCATTAAACAACAATAACGATGATGATGATGATGATCATCATCATAATAATATTCATGATTGTCATGATAAAGATAATACTAATTGCGTTACATACACTTGTATGTACGAACAATTCATAAGTTAAATCGAGATGAATGTATGTATATGGCCCCTCTATATGTTATGTTATCCCCACTATACATGTGTATTGTGTATTTATATTCATACATACATACATAGGTAAGTAAATTAGGGTGTTCCCAATGAAAATTTTATATTATAATGTATTAAATTAAATTTAAAAGCTCACCACATACATATTGACCCCCGAACAATTTTGAGACATGGTATTTTAGAATGGCTACATTTTCAATTACAATTACATTTAAAGTAATTGTAATTCAAGCTGTACCAATTACAATTACTTGTAATTATAATTGAAGTTTTGCTAATTACAATGATTCGTAATTGAGATTTTGACAATTACAATTTCTTGTAATTAAAGAATTTCCAATTACAATTACTTGTAATTGTAAATTTTTCCCTTTTAATTACATATAATTTGTAATTAGTAATACCTAAATTACAATTACAAGTAATTGTAATTGGAAAACTTCAATTACAAATAATTGTAATTGGTTATTTGTCAATTACATATAACAAGTAATTGTAATTGGAAAAACTTCAATTGCAAGTAATTGTAATTGATTATTAGTCTATTACACATAACAAGTAATTGTAGTTCGAAAAACCATGTAATGAATAAATTTGTGTAATCATTGTACCCCAAGCCTGCTTAGAATGAACCAATCTTTAATGTTCGATAGGAACATTAGTACTGTATTTGTTCTACATACAAACGTGTCCACCCTATTAAACAGAAATGCATATGTATGTCTGTGTATTTTAGATAACATCTATGTATATAAGAGTTATACTTGTAAGCCTTGTAGAAACAACCCTTTATCCTTCACCCATATTATTGTACTTATTTATACTATGTTCCGTCCCCCTATTTGTGTATGTGTAAGTTACTTTTTTGTGAAAGTAAGTAGGTGGGTTTGTATTCATTGATATGTTTTACATTTATGTATGTATGTACTAAGTTTAACTTACAGTCTTCGGTTACATTATTATGAACTAGGAAAAAATCCTTTAAATATTCATTATGTTCTCTAGAATGAGTAACGATATGTATGTAGTATGATATAGAATTTTATGAATTAAGTCTTCGAAATAAAATAATGTTTCTAATAAACTGTCCAAATATTGTAAACAAAATTTTAAAGGCGATCCAAACATAATAGCCATACTACAAAGAAAACCACTTATGTCATGGGCTAGTAGAATTCCATTAATCATTATTTTCATCGTTAGCCATTTGAATTTATTACAGTAATGAATTAGCAGTACGTAGGTGACATAAATTTAATTGATGCAATGAAACTTAAAGCAAAATCATGTGAACTACATACTATTACATAGGCATTTGCATAGACATTGCCTTCTAAGTGATGTTAAGTTAAATATTTTTAGCAATTTATAATATTTTGTCATTTATCACAATATATGAGAACAAATTTTCTAGGTAGTATCTACTATATTCCATATATATTTATCTAAATATGTGCATAATTTTAATGTTGCATTGAAACATTAAATTATTAATAATATTCTAATTGATTTCTCTATTTTACTAGATTTAACTATGGGCTATCAAAGACTGTCTGGCAATACAAATCACAATAATGTTGATCAGAAACCAACACATTTACCACCGGGTCACTATACACATGGCCATAGATGGAATGAACCCTACTTTGACTTAACAATGCCAAAAAACATAACATCTTTGGTAGGCAAATCAGCCTATTTGGGGTGTAGGGTGAAGCATTTAGGAAATAAAACGGTAAGTTGAAAAAGAAAAACGTTTTTATAGTTGCATAATATCAAAATCTTTATTTGTTTACTTTACTTGAAAATAGTTAAGGAAACAGTTTTATCACCTTCAAATGAGAAGGTGTTTGATTTTCTAAAATAAAAGCCATCTGCAAAATTTATTTTATTTTTATAATAAAATCAGTCTCTTCATATGATGACCTTTTTTTAATAGACCTAAAATAAAATACAATAGATTTTTTGAAAATCTTCTAAAACAGAAATAAATATAATTCATCTCCTTTTTGGGAGCGAATAATATACTTACGTACATATGCATCAGACATGGAAAATATATATTTTTGTAAACCAGAGTAATTTTATGGATTAAAAGTACTCTGTTAACTTTAAGCTTTTTTATCAGTTAACTAGTCTGAAAATTAGTACATAGTAACTAGTATATTGAGGAGTCTACTGATTGGTCTATTGCAGTGTTGCCAGGAGCTTAAGAAATAAAAGGCTAAATCTGGACTATTATTTTCTATGGTCTAGTCTATGGTTCAGTTTATGGTGTAGTCTATGATCTAGTCTACAATCTAGCCTATAGTCTAGTCTAAAGTCCAGTCTATTGAATTTTGTAGTGCTTAGCTTATGAACTACTTAGTAAGTTTTTGGTTAGTCTGTGGACTATTTTACTGACTAATATATGGACTGGTATGTAGTATGGTCCATGGTCAAGTATATGCTCCTATATATGACCTAGTCTATGGTCTAGTAAATGGTCTAGTCTATGCTTCAGTCTATGGTCTAGGCTATGGTCCAATCTATGGTCTATTATATGGTCTAGTCTATAGTCCAGTCTATAGTCTTGTGTATGGTCTAGTCTATGGTCTAGTCTATGGTCTAATCTATGGTCTAGTCTATGGTCTAGTCTATGGTCTATTCTATGGTCTAGTATAGGGTCTAGTGTAAGGTCTAGTCTATTGTCTAGTCTATGGTCTAGTCTATAGTCTAGTCTATGATCTAGTCTATATGCTCCTATATATGACCTAGTCTATGCTCCAGTCTATGGTCTAGTCTATGCTCCAGTCTATGGTTTAGTCTATAGTCAAGTCTATGGTCTAGTCTACGGTCAAGTCTATGGTCTAGTCTATGGTCTAGTTATTGGTCTAGTCTATGGTCTAGTCTATGGTCTAGTCTATGGTCTAGTCTATGGTCTAGTCTTTGGTCTAGTCTATGGTCTAGTCTATGGCCTAGTCTATGGTCTAGTCTATGGTCTTGTCTATGGTCTATTCTATGGTCTAGTCTATGGTCTAGTCTATGGTCTAGTCTATGGTCTAGTCTATGGTCTAGTCTATGATCTAGTCTATGGTCTGGTTTAGAGTATAGTCTAGTTTGTGGCCTGGTCTATGGTCTAGACTAAGGCGTGTGGCCTCCGGTAGATTAGTGGATAATGTTCTAGTCTGTAGAAATGAGTGTTCGATTACTACCTGAGGCACTGCTAAGGGAGCGCACAACAGGGCCTATGATATCCTAGGTTTATGTCTTCGGATTTGATGTAATATATGTAATTCTATGATCCCTTCGAGTCTACTTACTAGTCTATGGACTAATTCTAGCCTATAAGTTGGTACATAAACTACTCTATTGACTTTTGTTTTGATAAGAATATGAACTAGTATTTTGATTAGTCTACGCACTAATGTTTTGACTAGTCTATAAACTAGACTTTGAACAGGTCTACGGTCTAGAATATGAAATTGAGCTACTTTCTTAACTTTTCTTAGACTCTTGTTTTGACTGGCCTCTGAACTAGTCTTTTTACAGGTATATAAACCAGTAAGCTAATTTTTGTTTTCAACTGGGGGATGAATAGTTTGATAGATTGACTTTTATATTGATTTAGTCTAGTAAATGGAGTTTTCTATTGACTAGTCTCTAGAGCAATCTATGAACTAGTCAATTTAGTATTCTATGGATTAGTCTACCGAATAATTTATTATCTAATTCAGTGATTAGATAAATTAGTTTTTTGAATGATCTATGCTGTTATCTATAAAATTGCCTACAGAAAAGTTTATTGAATTGTCTTTGAACACATATGTGGACTGATCTATTGACTTTACCATTATATAAAACTATAGCACAAAAAAGAACTTCCAGTAATCTTCATTATCAAAAAAAAATCCATCCCTGATGTATAGAGAAACAAATTTCTCCCAAAAAGACACAAATCATATAAAATTTAGTCCTATACACACAATTCTTAGACAAAATATATATCTTTAAGTTTTTACCATTATAACCCAGTAAATATCGTTTCTTTTATAGCTAAACTTGGATAAAACTCCTACAGAAACAATAACACTTTCTTTTATGTTTTTACTCTCTTCGCTTCCGTTTGCTGTTTGTTTTTATTATCATTATTTACATAAGATTTTGATTTATTTTGTTTTTGTTATTCCTTTCTCTTCTAATGCCATTCTAAAACTAAGTAAAGACAAATAATGTATTATTGTTGTTGTTGTTTTGCTCTTTTTTTTTTTTTTTGACATGTCATAAATTCATACGACTGGAAAGTGAAACATTTCAAATCTCACATTATATTTTTTATGTTTATGTTTCTTTTAACTTTAGTTTTTTTTTTATTTTATGAGCTCAGCATAAAACGTACAAATATTGCATTAATTCTAAAACATTTGCAATATTTCTTTTGACAGAGAAATTCTAATGAAAGCTTTATATTGGACGCAAAAAGTGTGTTGGCTTCAGATTTTTTCTGAATAAAATAATAGTGTTATTTTTAGAATGAAAAATATAGAGTTATTTTGTGAATTTATTAATAATTTTTTTATTCTATAGTATATCTTTAGCTTTAGTGTTTTTGTGATAAAACTCAGAAAAATTTTTAGATAGTGTTATAATGGAAAGTTTAATATATATTTTAAATCATGATATTTTACAGTGGGCAAAATTGCTTGAAACAACATTGCTATTTCATTTGGTATTTATATGCGTTTGAAACTTCATGTTTCATAATTATTACATAACCTGGTCCGGTTTTTAAATATCTACTTAATATAATTTCTTAATTGATTTTACTGATATTTGCAGATAAATATATACAACCCTATAAAATTATTATATTCATTTCATTTACACACACAATTCCAAAATATGAAACATTTTAATTGGTTAATACAGAAAATGGGTTACATTGACTATCGCAGGATGCTGGGCTGTGTCTCTAAAGTACATATTAATCCTTTAAGTGCATATGTAAACGTTTGACTTTTAATTCTACTTAAATAATTTTAATGTATTCACGTCACTTATTAACAGTAGTACCATACCGACATAACAAAACTTTTAATTTAATTAGTAAGACAAACTACAGGTTGAACTATTTAAACAAGATAATAGTTTGGGGGCTACTTATGAGAATTAAAAAAAAACTAAGCAACAATAGAAAGTTAGAACATGTTTTTATTTTAATAAACTAGAAAATTTGCAAAAAAAAATTCTCATTATGTTAATTAATAAACGTTGGATCCGATTTTAAAAATCATAAAAATCACATACCTTATTTCGAATTCAAGTTTTGAATTTCAATTTTATAAAAAGATACAAACATTTTAACAAATTCCTCGGGGAGTGATATTTTGTTCGACTAAACCCCATACTAGACTTGATCAAATTCACAATTGTAGGTATTCATCTTTGACTGTAATTTCTCACTTGTTTTAAAAATTTAATTTTAAATTATACAATGAAATCATTTCTCAAACTCCAAACAATTTATAATTAAATTAGAACTTTGACCGTATTACGCATAAATTTAAGTAATATTTTGAAAAATAAATAATTTATTTATTAAAGCTTTTTTAATAACGATTTCTTAAAGCAACTTAAGAATAATTGTAAACAAACAAGTAGAAGTGTTATATTCGGCTATAACAGAATTTTCTACACCCATCATCACTATTTATGTGAAAGAGGCACTATTTATGAACATTGGTCTTTATAGATTGATCCTTTTATTATTACACAAAATTAATTGTAACCTACACCACTTCAGTGGGGAGGATATTGGTTTTCAGCTGATGTTTGTAACGCACAATAATATTGGTGATATACCCACCTTAAAGTACTCCAATCGACTAGAATCATTTTGTGAATCAATTTAGCTATGTCAGTCCGTCCGTCTGTCTGTTTGTCTGTCTGTCTGTCTGTCTGTCCGTCCATGTAAACTTTGTAATCAAACTACAGGTCACAATTTTGAATGCCCCCTTCAAAATAAGGCATACGTAAATGTCCACAATTTTATTCAACAACAAATGGCTTAAGTATATCTGAGGCAAGGTACAGTTCCACTTAACTGCTTTATTATGAAAACTGAATCTCATGTAGTCGGCCGAGCTGTACAGAATTCATAAAATTAATCATTACTGTTGAAATGGAACGTAAATTTTGAAAAATTTGTAAACAATGAACTGTTAAAAAAACTTTAGTTAGTATTGTTAGTTAGTTAGTAGTTAGTTAGTTTAGTTTAGTTTTAGTTAGTTAGAGTTAGTTAGTTAGTTTTAGTTAGTTTTGTTAGAGTTAGTTAGTTGTTAGTTAGTTAGTTTGTTAGTTAGTTAAGTAGTTAGTTATCGTTAGAGTTTGTGTAGTTAGTTCAGTTAGTAGTTAGTTAGTTAGTTGTTTTGTTAGTTGTTTACTGTTAGTTAGTTGTTAGTTAGTCGTTGTTGGTTGTTAGTTCGTAGTTTTCGTTAGTTAGTTTAGTTTGTTAGTTATTTCTTCGTTTGTTCGTTTCGTCGTTCGTTAGTCGTTCGTTCGTTCGTTCGTTCGTTCGTTCGTTCGTTCGTTCGTTCGTTCGTTCGTTTCTTTCGTTCGTTCGTTCGTTCGTTCGTTCGTTTCGTTTTCGTTCGTTTTTCGTTCGTTCGTTCGTTCGTTCGTTCGTTCGTTCGTTCGTTCGTTTTCGTTCGTTCGTTCGTTCGTTCGTTTCGTTCGTTCTCGTTCGTTCGTTCGTTC